CAAAAGGATTGTGTGAATGAGGTGGGTAAGAATTTTCAATATACAAAAGATACATATGTATATATATATATTTGGTGGTATGTGTAGAAAGCTTCACTTAAAGTGTTGAAATTGTTGATTTTAGAATGCTTCTTAAAATATTTAAAGTTTTATAGTTGAGTTAATTTTACACTATATTTTATGTGAAGAGGAATGAGACTTTTCTCAATTCTGAATGGAGAAGTTTTAGTTAAATGTTACTTAAACACATTTGAAATGTAAGCTTTTAAGAAGTAAGTGCTGACGATTTTTAAGAACTAGAAGATTGAGCCAGAAGAATACTATATAATGACTTATTTTTCCAGCAAATTAGTTGGCAAATCATAAGTATATAGAATTCAAAGAAAAACTCAGAGTCTATAAAATGCATGTATATGTTTTTGTTTTTTCTTAGTTATAAAAATAAAACAACATATTTTATAATCATATCAACTCGTGCAGTTATTTTTGTGTACTCCATTTAAAATTGCCCAAAAGTGGCCTTTGTTTTTTGTTTTAAGAGAATACATAATTTTGTATAACCCTCAAAATATCTTAAACATTAGATGTTCAAGAAGTACTTTTGTTTAATGCAGAGAAACCTTGCTACTGTCCCATGTCAAAACCATAATATGGCGCTACTGCCCAGAGAGAGCCTGTGAGTTACAAAAGTAAAGGAATATTTCTAAAGCCAGTTGGTTGCTGGCTGAGGAAGACTGTGTACCTTTTAACTATTCATTTTTCTTATGTGTAAAATATTAGCTAAACTTATCTACTTTATTATTCCGTTCTGTTTTGTGTTTTTGAACTTCATTCACAATAGGTGAGCAAAATTTTGCTTTTACTGGTTAGAACAGGGCTAGAATAGGACTGTGTGTGGCTAAATCATAAAGTAAAGAAAAGAGAGAGAGAGAGAGAGAGAGAGAAAAAAGAAAGTAAAGAGGTGGCAGGATTTTTTTAGGCTCTAAATTGTCCACCCTATTGAAGTATATGAACCAAAAGGAAAAAAAGATGAAAACTTTTTTCATCAAAACATTTTTTCTTCATTATTTTGTCCTGTCTGGTACTTAAAATCATGTTTTAGAATAATCTCAACCAACTTTTAAAAAAATTATTAAATGTATTGGAGTGACACTGGTTAATATGATCATACAGGTTTAAAGTGTAAATTTCTGTGATACATAATCTTCATACTACATTTTATGCCCACTACCCAAAGTCAAATCATCACCATATATTTGGCCCTCTTTATCTTTTACTACCCCTCAACCAACTTTTTTACATTAAAAATTACTTATTAAAATTTTTGAAAATACGTAGAGCTTTCTCATCTCCTAAGAACAAGAAACCTGTGAGTATAATGTGTATATGAAAACCTGTACTCGTTTCTTTTAAGCAGCTTTCTATTTATATGTACCAGGTGACTTTTCTGTAGGCCACTTTAAGGGTCATGAGGTTTCATACTAATTTTTACATTTTTGGGTCTTTTTAAATAAACAACCCCTATAAAGTCCTGCTTCTCAAATGATTCAGAATATCTCTGCTAGATATTTTTATAATCTTGACTTCTTGATGGTAGCTGACTGGTGAAATACCTTTTTATTCTTTTCATTATCTAAGTGACTAACAGTAAGCAGCCTTAATCTTTTAATACCAGCTGCTGGACTGGTAAGGTGTGTCTCCATTTTATTGGGCTACTTTGGCACCTGCAATACATTTTTGAAGGCAGCAGTAACATTTGAATATGTAGAGTTTTACTGCCAGAAGGCCAAACTCATTCCTCTAAATGTGTGTGTTGTATAGCATTGGTATGGAATTTTCCATATCTAAATCTTAGCTAGAGGTTGAAAAAGTAGCATAACCTAGTAGTTCAGGGTGTTATACAATGCACAGTTGGTTTTGCTGTTGGTGACTTTATATCTCATTTGTTCAACTATTATTTCTATTTGTAAATAAGATTTGATTTCTTATTTGTAAAGTCATGAGTGTATATATGTTTGCATGGATAGGATTAACAAAAGGACCAAGGATTGAAAGCAGATTCACAGTGGATCTTGGTGATTATTATTCAAGAGAATTCTCTGCTTCCTTTTAACTCTAAACTTTATTATCTTTGCTGATTACCTTGAAGTCTAAAATGGCTTTAGATCAGCAAACTTAATAATTCAAAGAGCTTTCAACCTAGATATTACATTTGATTCTAGCTGCTGTGAATATAGATAAGTGAATTGTGCAAGTATTCCCATTTGCTTGACAAGGAATCTGAAGCTCAGCTGTTTCTATTTGCCCAGTTCACACGGAATTCAACTTTTCTATTAAATCCTTTTATCTTTCCAATATGCTTAAGCTAAATTGAAGCAACTTTTGATAGAATCAGTATATATGTACTTTATTAACTTAATATGTAGAGTTTTACTGCCAGAAGGCCAAACTACATTCCCCTAAAATGTGTTTATGGAAGAAGGAACATTTTCCTAATCATATTCTATATTCTCTTTTGCTGCTTTTCTGTAGCATTTAGAATGTTTTTACATGCAAAGGCCAACTATATATGTGTCCACTTTTAGCAAAGAATTGTCTTTCAGATAATTTTCTGCCAATAGTGAATGTTCTACGAACTCAATATATAGTATTTTAGATTGTTTTTCCATTGCATTTATGAATAGCATTTTAAAATTTGCTTTTAGCCCCGCTGGCGTGGCTCAGTGTTTGAGCGTCAGCCTATGAACCAGGAGGTCACAGTTTGAGTCCTGCTTAGGGCATATGCTCGGGTTGTGGGCTCGATCCCCAGTCTGGGGCAAGCAGGAGGCAGCCGATCATAGATTCTCTCTCATCATTGATGTTTCTATCTCTCTCTCTCTCTCCCTTCCTCTTTGAAATCAATAAAAATATATTTAAATTAATGAATAAAATTTGCTTTTTTTGTTTGCTACAGTAAACAGTTCTACATGTTTATTGTAGAACATTATAAACAAATATAAAACAAAATCTCTAGTGTTTCTACTACCAGAGAACTTTTAGTGTGCATCATCTATTTTTTTTTCTTAAAACAGTTCCTATTTTCTTAAGCCTTAATTTGAAATACCATACCACCTTGCTCAATTAAAGCAGCTTTTTGCTTCAGAAGCATTATTTTCTTATTTTTATTAGAATTCAAAGACCAGTTGGGAAAACTTAATTTGCTGGATTTGAAAGTAAGCAAAATACAAACTGCTATCTTTGTAGTCATTACTCAGAAGTGAACCTTTTAAATACATTGATTCAATTTTAGGATCAGCACTACTACACAGTTCCTTGCTGTGGAAGGTTAGCCATAGAGGCAGAATCCTCTAAATTAGGACTTTTGAATAATGCATTGAGTAAATAATGATAATTATTTCACTACAACTCTAGTATTTGAAAACTTTTTTGAGCTAACTATTTGATGTAGAGTTGACCCTTCAAATAACACAGGTTTAAACTATGCAGGTCCCTTTTTACATTTTTAAAAAAATAAATATGTATAGTACTATAAATTTTGTCTTATGATTTTCTTAACATTTTCTCTAGCTTACTCAGTTGTAAGAATACAGTATATAATATATATATATATATATATATATATATATATATATATATCATACAAAATATGTGTTAATCAGCTATGTTCTTAATAAGGTCAACAGAGGGCTATTAGTTGTTAAGTTTTAGGGGAGTCAAAAGTTGCAAGTAGATTTTCAACTGCCCAGGGGGGTTCAGTGCCCCAAAGGTCAACTGTATTTCAATTCAATCTATGAGAGATTACATGCATTTCTGTGATCTATCAAATTATCATTAACTTTGGTTTAATATATCTTGTCACTGAGACTGTAGATTATTAGAATTTATATATATTCTAACTTTTCTAGTTCCTCTGCCCTGTTTTCCTGTGTTTTGTGTATTTAGATGCCACTTGGATAGTGTCTGTGGTTAATCAGATGAGTTGGGAATAATGAGTTGGTTTTGTCCACATCACCTCTCAGATAGGGGTATTTTGTTATTCTTGTATCTTTCAACACATTGCTGAAATTTTTATTTGCAAAGAATTTTCACTTCATGAAGATTCTAAAATATCACTGTGATGCTATTTAGTATTACATGTAATAGTTGTATTGACTGTTCTTCTGAAATTAATTAGACACTTAGTCTTTCATATGGGTCTAATGCAGCCGTGGGCAAACTACAGCCCGCGGGCCGGATCCGGCCCGTTTGAAATGAATAAAACTAAAAAAAAAAAGACCGTACCCTTTTATGTAATGATGTTTACTTTGAATTTATATTAGTTCACACAAACACTCCATCCATGCTTTTGTTCCGGCCCTCCGGTCCAGTTTAAGAACCCATTGTGGCCCTCGAGTCAAAAAGTTTGCCCACCCCTGGTCTAATGTATCACTCTTCATTTTGTGTTTCATATGTATAAGACAGTTTGCTCTTCAGTTCTCATGCCAAACCAGCCCAAATCCTTAACTCCTTCTATACTTGGTGAGTTTGTTAAAGAGTACTGTAATCATAGAATACCTGCCAAACTGAGCATGTGAATTCATGCCCACACATGAGTTCAGTGTTCAAAACAGTTAATTGCTGTGTTGATTAATGTGTTAGGTAACAAGGTTGAACAAAAGACATTCTAACCAATTAGAGTATTTGGCTTTCTTTTTAGCCAATAACTTCTTTTACTTAAAACACAGCAGAAAATGTTGACAACATTCTAAAATTTTCGCTAGCCACATATAGAAGCCATGGAAGTAAGTGACCCCTACCATCTGTTTCTTTCTTTTGTCTTGTGGGAGTTATATTGACACTACTCAGCTCAGCCTGCATGAACCAGCTCCTGCAGACAAATCAGAAAAAAGCCAGGTTGATAAGAAAGCAATCTAATGGAACCTTGAAAGTCAATTGAAAGTCAAAGTTCAAAGGCTCTGCTTTTATTAATGTGTTCTTGTCACTGTTTTTATGGGTTTCAGGGGGTGAAGCCAGCCAGTTTTGACAAAGTAGCAATTCCTGAAGTGAAGGAAATTATTGAAGGATGCATTCGGCAAAACAAAGATGAAAGGTAAGTTGCCTCTAGACCTGTTGCTTAAACAAAAACCTAAAATGTAACATGCTGTGAATATAACACTCAATCTAAGGTGTATTTTACTTGTGATTAGTTTTCAATTAATGTCATAATATCTTTAAAAGTAGAGTTTTGTCCATTCAAGTATTCAAATTTGATATACTGAAAGGTTGTAAAACTGTGGTTTAGTAGAGTTTAAGTAAACCAAATTACCTGAAACATCAACATTTAATGATAACTTTGTATAGCATCAGTTTGATGTATAAAACTCAGTAGAGTTCAGTCCTGGTCGGTGTGCTCGGTGGTTAGAGAGTCAGCCTATGCTCCAAAATTCCCCCGTCAAGGGCATGTACCTGGTTGCAGGTTCCATCAGGTGCGTGCAGGAAGGCAACCAATCAACGTGTCTCTCTCACTTCGATGTTTCTCCTCTTCCCTTCCTCCCTTCCACTGTCTCTAAAAATCAATTGTAAAAATATCCTCACGTGAGGATTAACAACAAAACAGAAAACTCAGTAGGGTTCCATCTCTAATGCAGCAAATCTATTCCTTAGTTTTTTTCCCATTGAATTCTAAAAGGTAAAATAAAATCTTAACTCTTGAAAATCAACTCAACAATACAGGTCTTGATTTGCTTTTATTGTGCCAGAATTGAAGAAGAGCAAAACATCAAAATTCCTTTGAGTAAAAAGAGACGACTTTGCCCAAAGCTTAGGAGGAGATCTGGCTTAGTCATTTGTACTAACAGAGGACTTTTCTCAGAGGAGTGGCAAGTATCTGATCTGCCATATAGCTGATTCATCACCCGTTAGGCATGGCAAAGGTCCAATGTCTGTTTTTGAAAAATAATCCACTTTCAATGTCCCCCCCCCCTTACACTCTAAAAAAAAAAAGATCAGCCTGTACAAATATAAATTGTAAGTTGAGCATAGTCTACCTCCAGAAGAATGTGAGCAATCAGGTATATCAACCAAATTAAAGAATTCCATATCTTCCCTTCTCCAGTCTCATGCTCTTTTCATAACTTCATTATTTGGAAGAGGTTAACATCATGATCTTTAAGGCTTTTTAGTAGAAATTTAATTTGGGTTTCTATTTTTGTATGCACTGATTGGAGAGTCCTTAATCTCTTTAAGAACTTTTTTTACTATAAACAAAGGAATATTTGTTTCCCAGTCTTCAAACATATTACTCTGTTTCTTTTCTGGATGGACCAGTTCACTAGATTACTGGTATTTTGAGACCATTTATCTAAAGAAGATTGTTCTACAATCAGACTTCTGCTTGCCTAGTACACAAATTGTTGAACAGGAATTGAGAGAATTTTGGGGGATAAATAAAGCTTCTGTAGTAGAAGGTAATGAACTTGAAATCAAAAGACTTATTTTTGAGTTTTAATTCCACCATTTACTACTTTTATAACTATGAGCAAGATTTTCAACCTCTCTGAACTTCCATATCCTAATTAGGATATCTTATTGAATGTTGGTCAAGGATCAGATGAGATCCTACATATGAGGATTTTTTTTGGTAACTATAAATGCTATATAAACAATTATATGGTATTTTGAAGCTATGATAGTCTTTGTATTACTTGGTATTGTTAGTACACTATTAAATTAGATATTTATATTAAAAAGATAACAATACTTTCCATTTTTATTCATAAATGATATTGTTATATATGAGATTGTTATGATGTTCTGTAACTTGAGAGTAAAATTCTATAATCACTATTCAAATGGAGCAATGTAAAAATGAGTTACAAATTTCCTTTGTTTTTTTGTCAATCCTTTTCATTATTCTAAGCATAACAATAATTAGCCACACTTGAAAATTATCTTTTAAATCTAATGGCGCTTTATGTGTGTTTTTTCCCCCTTCTCTCTTCGGAAGATATTCTATCAAAGACCTTTTGAACCATGCCTTCTTCCAGGAGGAAACAGGGGTACGGGTAGAATTAGCAGAAGAAGATGATGGAGAAAAGATAGCCATTAAATTATGGCTACGTATTGAAGATATTAAGAAATTAAAGGGAAAATACAAAGACAATGAAGCTATTGAGTTTTCCTTTGACTTGGACAGAGATGTGCCAGAAGATGTTGCTCAAGAAATGGTAAATTATCACTAATCAGCCATTTAAAAATTGATGCAAATTTATGTATATTGATATTATTGAGCAAAAAAGCAGTTTATGAAGCAGTGTATATGGCATATCCCATTGATATAAAATTGTGTTGATTAATGGCCCCAAAATTACTTTTGAGGAAAAGATATATAGACTTAGATAGGTATGGATGGATGGATGGATCTAATAGAATAGAATATGAATATGGAAATAAAGAAACTAGAATACATTCTGAAGTAATTTTGAGAGTTTAATGTTAAATGACTCCTAGTTTGTATAAGCATATTTAGTGAGAATGCAAAGTTATGTCTTCTAAATATTGATACATTTGCCTTTGACCAGTCACCCTAAATTAATTGTTTTTACTTTTACTTAACATATTTACCACAATTGTTTTATCTGGTTAAGTGGTTGCCTAGTGCAGTGGTCAGCAAACTCATTAGTCAACAGAGCCAAATATCAACAGTACAACGATTGAAATTTCTTTTGAGAGCCAAATTTTTTAAACTTAAACTATATAGGTAGGTACATTGTTATTAACTTAATTAGGGTACTCCTAAGGCTTAGGAAGAGCCACACTCAAGGGGCCAAAGAGCCGCATGTGGCTCACGTGCTGCAGTTTGCTGACCACGGGAGTGAAAGGAAGTCAGGCAACACAGGTTAATAGTAATGGTTATGTGTGAGTGGGAAATAGAATTAATAGAATCTACTGGGACTTAATTTGGTTTAAAAACTTTGGTTTTAGGTTTCCCATTGTTTTGTTGTTGTAAGAAGTGAAGGTATACCCACCTCTCAAGTTTCTACAAAGATCTTGGCACCCACCCCATGAGTATCTACAAAAATGGTGGGAAAATGCATAATGTTAGACCAGTAATTTCACAGTTTGGTTAAGATCAAGTCTTAGAGAGCCTTCTCCTTCTCTACTTTTCTCCCAAAAGGGCCTTTTTTTGTTTTATATTTGGTTTGTTTTCTTTTGATAACCTACTGCTTCCTAATGTGCATTTTTATCCTATAGGTAGAGTCTGGGTATGTCTGTGAAGGTGATCACAAGACCATGGCGAAGGCCATCAAAGATAGAGTGTCATTAATTAAGAGAAAACGGGAGCAGCGGCAGTTGGTGCGGGAGGAGCAAGAAAAAAGAAAACAGGAAGAGAGCAGTTTCAAACAGCAAGTAGATCAACAATCAAGTGCTTCCCAGGCAGGAATCAAGCAGCTCCCCTCTGCTAGCACTGGCATACCTACTGCCGCTACCACTTCAGCTTCAGTTTCTACACAAGTAGAACCTGAAGAACCTGAGGCAGACCAACATCAGCAACTACAGTACCAACAACCTAGTATATCTGTGTTATGTAAGTATTTTGGGAAGTGGACAAGTATGCTAAGCATACTCCTAATTGACTTTTTTAATAGAGGGCCAAATTATTTTGTTTTACTGTAATGGGGGAACTATCTTTTCTGATTCTAGATTTATATTGAGGTCTTGTTACTTCCTGTGGATGCAGAGTTGTATCATCCATCTCTAAGAATACTTTAATAGCCACCCCATACTTGTTAGGGCCCATATCTGGATGATACCATTTTCTCTGCCTCTCCCCTCTGGCCTCTGTTTGTTTTGTTTTGAATTTTTTTATTTAAATTCTTTATTGTTTAAAGTATTATATATTTCTCCTTTTCCCCTATTGATCTCTCCCCAGCTGCTCCCCCCCCAACCCCCCCACCCCCCCCAGCACATGCCCTCACCCCCTATTCTCTATGTCCATTGGTTATGCTTATATGCATGCATACAAGTCCTTTGGTTGATCTCTTACACTCTCCCCTCCCTTGCCTTCTCTCTGAGGTTGGACGATCTGTTCGATAGATTCTGTGTCTCTGGATCTATTTTGGTTCATCAGTTTATTTTGTTCATTATATTCCACAAATGAGTGAGATCATGTGATATTTATCTTTCTCCAACTGGCTTATTTCACTTAGCATAATGCTCCACAGGTCCATGACTTTTTATCTTCTTATTAATGATGTTGCACTGGCCTCTTGGTTTTGAATTATGAATGCAACATATAATAAGTTTGAAATGGTTACCATCTACCTGTTTCTATTCTTACATTCATGACTAATAGAAAAGAAGGATGGGGCAGTGAGGAAATGTGAAAAGGATATAAGATAATTTTACAGGTTCCTTCATCTTGGAAATTCCAATTTATAGATTTCTACTTTTCACAGATCCTTAAAATGAAATCCTATATAATAAAAGGCTAATATGCAAATGGACCGAACCGCAGAACCACTGGTTGCTATGACACGCACTGACCACCAGGGGGCAGATGCTCAATGCAGGAGCTGCCCCCTGGTGGTCAGTGTGCTCCCACAGAGCCTCTCCCGCCTCCGCAACAGCGCTAAGGATGTCTGACTGCCGGGTTAGGCCCGCTCCAGGGAGCAGGCATAAGCCATCAGTCGAACATCCCCTGAGGGCTCCCAGACTGTGAGAGGGTGCAGGCTGGACTGAGGGACACCCCCCACCCCACCCCTGAGTGCATGAATTTCATGCATTGGGCCTCTAGTGTAATTTATAATGAAAAATGAACAAGTTTATGTTAGCTACTTATAATTTAAGAGCTAACTTACATTACACTGATCTCCAAATTCAGGACTTTGAGAGTTATGTCAAACTTAAGGCTAACAGCATTCCATTTAATTCCTTTATTTGTAAGATAATAAGAGTCTGTGATAGCCAGGGATTTTTTTTTTAAGACATTAAAACTTTTTTCCATATGGATCTCTCATTTAAATATAGAAATATACTTAGTAAATTAACTAGTATTCATTATTTATTTAGTTCAGGTCTGTGCAAAGAAAAAAACTATTTGATCCTAAAGTCATCAGTTTGTGATGAGGAAAATGTGAACCTCCATTTTATGATTTGTCTCTCTCTCTGTTTTTCTCCTTCAGCTGACGGGACTGTTGACAGTGGTCAGGGATCTTCTGTCTTCACAGAGTCTCGAGTGAGCAGCCAACAGACAGTTTCATATGGATCCCAACATGAACAGGCACATTCTACTGGCACACTCCCAGGGCACACAGCTTCTGTTGTCCAAGCACAATCTCAGCCCCATGGGGTATATCCACCCTCAAGTATGGTAAGTAACAGCTTAAGAGAGTGTAAACCTATAATGAGAGCCAATAGATAATGTGTTAAATTTAAATTATTTCTCATATCCAGGTAATGGCATGAGTCTGAAGTATAAAATATACATGGTGTATTTCTGAAAGAAATAGGTTTATTATTGAGTGTATTAAGAGTAGTTCTGGCAGGGCAGGGAATACACACACACACACACACACACACACACAAGGAAAGGTCAGCTGGGTATAAGATTTAGGCTGTTCTGCCTTTGATTAAAGATAATGATAATGTTCTCTTTAGCACTTTAGAGTTGAAACTGTTCAGAGCAGCATAAGTTAGATATACAAATGTTTGGGGGTTGGGGGTAAGGAGAGTTTTTCAAAGCTTACTTATTAAAAGAATTACTAAGTATTTTCTGTAAGATTTTTTATTGTATAAAACACAGGTAAGACCTTCAGACCATTATAGAATGCTGCATGTGAGTACTCTAGAGTGAAAGAATCCTTTATTTGTATGACCATTTAATTTAGCGCTTGTGTTTAATCATTAGTTGCTATGTATGTTCCTCCTTAAGTCTGTGTTGGACACAAGTTCCTTCCTTATTATATGTTCATGTGCTTTTTCCCTTTATTTGGTATCTGTTTCTTACTGATTTATTTTTAGAATCAACTTGTGGAGATTATTTCCTAAAACGTTTTATACATTTATATATACATACATACACAGACACATATATACACATTATTACCCCATGTTTTACATTAGCCACTTTTGCTTCTTATAATATTAAACTAGACCATCAGATAATATCTCATTTCTTTTGATGATCCTCTGAAGTCTTCAGAGGTAAATAAAACATACCATCTGGCTCAAGAAGGAATTGGAGAATAACTGGTCACTATATAACAGTTGTTTAGTGAAATCTTTAGACAGGTAGATTTCCCTTTCGCAGAAAGCTTTTCATCTGAATTTTGTGGAACTCTTGCTCTTCAATAAATGAAAATATTTCTCTGTTAAGAAAATACTTCTGCTTGCTCTTGTCTTTTATCCTTCAGCTTGGGATAAAAGGTGTTTATTTCAGAGTCCATTTATCAGTCCTACATTGGCTAGGTCTCAAGATGAATGGCCACAGTAACACAAAGAAAACTACTAATGTACTAATGTTACTAAAACTACTAACTACTAATGTACTAATTGTTAAAATGTTTTAACAATCTACTTTTCTGACCTTTAAGATAATTAGATAGGTTAGAAAAACTTTATAAAGAGTGTATAGATGTATTTCTGTGATCTGGCAAATATTATTTGTCAGAATTTCTTGTCAGTTTCTACTCTTGTTATAATTGACTTTTTTCTGATCATCACACTAGACTTTTTGAAAACTACTTTTAATTTTTTTGGCTTCATTCATTCATTACAGGGCTATGAACATTGGGTCCCTTCTTTAGAAAAGGAAGTGGAGTGATCATTTATGAAGATTTTAACTATTTGCGCCACAAACATAGTTATATTTATTGATGTGCTAAAAGCAGGCTGCTAATAACATTCTTGCCTTTTAATGACAATATTCTTTGGAGGTATCATGAAGTTATTAAATATTGAGAACTTAATAAATTTTTATAATTTTGTTCTTATTCAAGAAAGATTTTATTGTAACTTACAATAATATAACAATTATATGTAGAATTTAGAAGTTAGAATAAAAGAGAAACAAGGGTGGAGAAAAATAGAACCAGGAATGAAATACATAATCATACAATGATACTTAAATACTTGCTGCTGGCAGGCCATAAATTTGGCTCATAGCATTCTATGCAGCCAATTTTAGGAAAAAAAAAATGTAATTAGTTGCAGTTTACAATATCCAAAAGGAAATAAAAATCTTGCTCAGGACAACCTTGCAGTATTAGATGTACTGCTTTGTAGCTGTATTATAACCTTTGTGTTAAGGTGCCTTAAACTTTGTAAACCTAAATTGAATCTCTGATGTACCTGAAAAAAATTTTTAAGTTAATTTTTAAAGATTCACATTTCAGCTATTTTCCATTGACTACTTTAATATAAATACACAATATTTCCTGTATCTATTGTGAATTACTACTAGAAAGATAATGCTTTTCCTAGTAGAAAATGACTTTTTAAATTACCTTTACAGATATAGGCAAGCGAAATAAATAAAATACTGTGAGCCAATAACTTTTTAAATCTGATGCCTACTCAATAGAAATGAGAAACCTTTTCTGAGGCTTCCAGAGCTCCTGCAAAGTAATCCAGACTTAAAATCTTCTATATCTTGTAATGTGCATTCAACTAATAGAATTCATTCTTGTTTAATCTTTAGAAGTTTGCAGAAACTATAAGCCAATATTCATTGTTTACCCTATGTTCTGCTACCTCAGTCACTCATTCTTATTCATACAATCACAATAATTCATATTATTTTAGAATATTTAGGAAGATAATTGATCATTATCATGGTTCTTCATTAAAAAAACCTGTACTTGACCAACAGTATAGAGAGAATAAATATGATCAGCCAGGTGTGCTTTCTGGAATTATTTCTCTCCAAAAAAAATTGGCTTTGTGGAATTGGGGGGAAAAGAATGTTTCTTTATGTCAGCTTTGCCCTGTTATCATTGTACATTTGGTTATTTTGTTTTCAAAGTACTGTGTTTTTCATGTGTGTGTTTGTTTTCTGTTTAGCCTCGTCGTGGCCGTAGCATGTCGGTTTGTGTTCCCCATCTTTCTGCTGTTCCCTCTCTGTCCCGCATCTCTCCCAGTGCTCCTTCCACCCCACCACCAGTGCAGTCTGCACCTCTTTCTCCTCCCCTCCTTCGGACTGCCCCTGAGGAAACTTTTGCCGAAAAGCTTTGTAAAGCATTGGAGAGTGTCCTGCCTATGCACTCTGCCTCTCAGCGCAAGCACCGACGCTCCAGCCTGCCTTCCCTCTTTGTCAGTACTGTATGTAACCATAAACTTCCTGACAAATGAAAATTTATTACCAATGAATACATCCAGGCATCAAGTATTTTCATAAAAATAAAATAACAGCACTGAACTTAGTATTACGTTATGCTTTAGGATATCCGTTCTTCTGTAGAAAATTTTTTTTTGTTATAAGGTTTTATGGGGGAAAAATACAAGGAGGTAATGAGAGATCTTGACACATATCAATGTGTGCACAATAAAATTTAGCTTTTTAAAAATATCCTCCTATCCCCCACTGACCTATACAAATCCTTGCATTTTCATATCCTAGTAAAGAATATGAGTATTATTTAATTTTAAGTTCATTGTTGGCTTAATCAAAGGCAAATTTTCCCTTTATCAAACAATACCCAAAAATGTTTTCTCCTCACTTTATTCTAAAGCGATGCTAATGAAACTGGACGAATCTATTTTTCCCCCATAGTCAGTGAATAATAATTGAAGAGTGAAAGTTGATTTTAATTTCTTAGCTGTTTGAAACGATGTATCAACAAACTAAAAGGCCACATAATGTTCCCTCATGAAATTATTTTTTTTCTTAGATTGATTAAGGTGGAATCTTGACTCTAATGAATACATTAGTCACATATATAGTACATATGATTTTCGTTGGCCCATCCATGTCTATAAAAGATCTATCTTTTAAAGTTTTAAACACTGTGGGACCTTGCTGTTGCTTTTCCAGATAGAGAATATAGTTAACATTCTGATTTAGCAATGCCCAAATCTTCAGATTTTTACCTAAGAGAATGATATGGCTTTTGAATACTAATAGAAACCCTCTTTTAGATGTTGTGATAAAATAACAATAGAACTATTTTGCTAACTTGATTGGGGTCTTCCCTATTGAAAAAATGAAACCGTACTCTTTTAAAAAATGAGCCTATGAAAGTGAATTATTACAGTGTGCACTTTTTGCACTTGGCAAGGGCAAAGTAGGATTCTAAAGTTAGAGTTTTAAATCCGGAACTTCTTCTTTGACCCCCCAAAAAACTGTTGTATCAAGTCAGCTGTTATTTATATTCTTTTCAACTGATTTGAACACTAGATTATTCAACCCTTAACTAGGACCAGAAAAGTGGACATTTAGTAATTTGGCATCTGTCACATGTTTCATGTAGTAAAATGAACTGTATCTGGTTTGGGATAGACCAGAAAAAAGACATTACTGTCACTAGTCAAGTTGTGTATCTTTTACTATCCACCAAAAATCTCTTCTGATTTCTACTTAGAAGATATATGATTACTTGATAAGAAAATAACACTGAAGCCTCTAACAGGAGAGGATAATAAATATAAAATATAGGTAGACTTTGTATAGTAGCTTAAATTAAAATGCATTTCTTATATTATAAAAATTGTTGGGTTTATTGTTTTTCCTTAACTCTTTCTCTACTGATGTAATTTATATTAAGTCTAAGAGTAAGCATGTTAAAAAAAAAAGAGTAAGCATGTTAATTGTAGGTAAAAGTAAAATAATCACTTAGAAAGTTAAATTCTTTTGAGAAAGGAAAGTTGAGAATGGAAATTTGTGGAAAAGCAGCTTTTATCTGATGCAAAGAGTCCCACAAAATAATTACATGGACCCTGGATGTATTTAATGGATTTTCACTATGCACATAATTTCTACAAGTATTGTTATTTCTTTATTAATTATAAATTTGGTGTAACCATTTCATAGGGTTACACAGAGCTATCCAGTTGTGCATGTCAAATGTAATTTCACATATGAATGTATGAATTACTTGTCTTATTCATGTTGATACAGCCTCAGTCCATGGTGCATCCGTGTGGGGGGACCCCAACATACCCAGAATCACAGATATTTTTCCCAACTATTCATGAACGTCCAGTTTCCTTTTCACCACCTCCCACCTGTCCACCGAAGGTGGCCATTTCCCAGCGGCGTAAGAGCACCTCCTTCCTGGAAGCCCAAACTCACCACTTCCAACCCCTGCTGAGGACTGTTGGCCAAAATCTTCTTCCACCTGGTGGCAGCCCAGCTAACTGGACACCAGAGGCCGTAGTTATGCTGGGTACTACAGCCAGTAGAATAACTGGAGAGCCATGTGAGATACCGGTCAATCCTTTGTTTGAACCACCTCAAGTTTACAGTGACTGTAGACCTGGACTAGTACTTTCAGAAGAAGCTCACAGTTTTGTTCCTCAGGAAGCGTTCTATCTAGCTGGGGTACAGTACCAGGCCCAGGTGGCAGAACAGTATGAGGGTATTCCATACAACTCACCAGTACTGTCAAGTCCTATGAAACAGATACCTGAACAGAAGCCAGTACAAGGGGGCCCTACCTCACGTTCTGTCTTTGAATTTCCATCTGGACAGGCTTTCTTGGTAGGACACCTTCAGAATTTAAGATTAGATTCTGGATTGAGTCCAGGATCTCCCCTCTCTAGTATTTCTGCACCTATCAGTACAGATGCTACATGTTTGAAATTTCACCCTGTCTTTGTTCCTCATTCTGCGCCTGCTGTGTTAATTCATAACAATGAGAGCAGAAGCAATTGTGTATTTGAATTTCATGTTCACACTCCAAGCTCCTCTTCAGGAGAAGGAGGGGGAGTTTTACCTCAGCGTGCTTACCGAAATCGACAGGTTGCAATGGACTTGAATCAGGAAGAATCACCTCCTCAACCAGTTGGATTACATGGCCGCCTGCAGCCTGTGACTGAAGAACAGCATAATTATGCCCCAGAATTGACCGTTTCTGTGATAGAGCCTATCGGACAGAACTGGCCAATAGGAAGCCCAGAATATTCCAGTGATTCCTCACAAATTACTTCTTCAGACCCCAGTGATTTTCAATCACCTCCCCCTACAGGGGGAGCAGCTGCACCTTATGGCTCTGACGTCTCATTACCCTTTATCCGTCTGCCTCAGACAGTGTTACAAGAATCCCCACTTTTCTTCTGTTTCCCCCAAGGAACCACATCTCAGCAGGTTTTATCTGCCTCATATTCTTCAGGAGGATCTGCACTCCATCCACAGGTTATAGGAAAACTTCCACTATTTTAAACTACCCTACTACGCATCATTACATTTAAATTTTCTATCCCTCCTTTTCATTTATGAGGAATATTATTTAATTTAATTTATTATTGAATTTCTTCATTTGGGAGTATTATAAACTATTTGTATTTAAGAACAAAATATGAGAGAGAAGCTGCCTAATTTACCTATAATATATGCAAACCCTTAGAAAAAGAAATAAAAACTAGAATTTTAGTTGGTTATCAAAATCAATTACTTCTATCCATAGATAGCATATTTAAAACTAGTAGTAAAAAAGTAGATGTCTATATTGTGATGTTGACTCAACATTAATTATTTATAAATACTAATGTGAAGTATTTCTTTCTCCCTAGAAATAAACAAGGCTAGTTTAAAAAACAACAACAAAAAACCTTTTTTTACATAGAATTAACAATACACAGAATTTTCATTAGTGTGGAAGGATTTTAAAAGACAGAAAGGAAACATCTCAAGAGTTTGTTTTAACAAAATGAAGATGCCTTTTTAAAAAGGCATCAATCAAACAAGTCACTGTATATATCCAAATAAAATGTTAATCCATAAAGTTAACTAATTCTAATTTGTAGCAACTACGTTAGAATCTAGTGTGGGTGGTGGGGTTTTTTAACATTTGTTTTAAGAACTTGTGATATATGTTGCAAGCTAAGGAACATTAAATATCCCAGGCCTTGGTGTTTTTATCAACAAATATAAATTTTGTTATTTATGTTTATGAGCTTATGCACTCTTACAAATAAAGACCAAGTAATGTCCATAATAGAATTCAAGAAGTGGATTTAGTATTAGCCATTTTATATATTTTGATACATTTTTGTCAAACTTATAAGTCTTATTAAGATCTGTCTAGGAGATTATGCAATTATATATTTAAGACATCGTTTGGATCTTTAAAATATTCCACTCTTTTATAAAAAACTGTATGTTCTCCTTTGTACTTTCTTCCTATGTGGGCATAAACAACCCTGAAAGTGTACCTAACGTATCATTTACTTAGAATAGTAACAAGAATAAAAAAGATCCAGAAACTTTAAAATTATACTCCATGTGTATGCAGTACACTCACATCATTACACTAGTTATCAGTCTGTACTGTAAATCTTAATGCACTGCCAGCCGTTCTTCTTTAAATTTCCAAAATAAAATGTCAAATATCAAGTAGTTAATTTACAGACTTATTGCAGAAACAATGAATGTGTACAGTGGTTAAGATGTAGTGACATGTTATATCCAAGGAACCTTCAAAGAAACCTTGTAAAGCCCCACATTCATTTCTCACATTGTTATTTTAACTTAGACTTTTGTAGGTCAGGTTTTCTCAAATTCAACACTATTGATGTTTTACTTTGCATAATTGTTTGTTTGGGATAGCTGTTCTGCACAGTGTAGGATGTTTAACAGCAACCTTGGCCTCTTTCCAGTAGATGCCAGTAGCATCAACCAAAAACGTCTCCAGATACTGCCAAATGTCCCCTGAGGTGAGGGCAAAATTGTCCCTGCTTGAGAACTAATACTGTAAGCAATTAATGATAACAGATTTTTTTTTACACTTTTTCATAAAAGTCACCATGGCACTACAAGAAATAGCAAAAGGAACCAAATTAGCATTATCAAATGCTCTTTTTTCTTTAATTGTTCACATACAGGAGGGGTATTTTTTACATTGATATTCTTACTTTTTCCTGATTATTGTCATTAACAATTATATTAGGAATCTTACATTTTTAGCTAAAATTATAGCCTGAGCAGAAATGATTAGGTTTTAACTATCAGTGGTTTTTGCATAGGATCAGAGTATGTTCTTTTCTTAACCTTTTCTTACAAAAGATTCCCCAACAGTCTCTTCATATATAGTTTATCAAGCTAATGTTTCATCTTACTCAAGCAAACTCTCAGGAGCTTAATATTTATTGCCAAAGCCTGATTTCCCTGTACATTTACTTCAGTGCTTTTCTAATTTGTTGTATTTACTTTTTTTCTCTAGGCACAGGGGCAGAGCCAGGGTCAGCCATCCTCAAGTATTGTAACAGGGGTTTCATCTTCCCAACCCATACAACATTCTCAGCAGGTGAGAACAATTCATTGCTACATTTTATGGATTAGCAGTAGCCAATACACTATTTTACATCTTTCTTGAATTAAATTTCTGATGTAAATGGCCTACTAAGTGTTTGAAAGGAAAATCAAGAGGCATAACGTATCTCGTATTCAGTAACATTTTAGAAACTCTCCTTTATTTAATGTATTTTTGAACAATCTACTATATTGAAAGAATCATTGATGCTGGTCAAATTTATCTGCCTTCTTAAACAGATAATTCAATACATAATTTAACAATACAAAGAATATCAATTCTATTTTTACTTATATATATATGACTTGTTCTTTTGTGAGCATCATCACTGGTGATATTTGTAATAATTATTTGCATGGAAATAATGCTTTTTGGCACAATTCAATATTTATTAACTGTTTCAAATAAAATTTATAGTTACTATATGGTACATAGTTTCCTACAAAGTGTGTTTTTGAACCACCAAATTGTAAATTGGCTTCTGTTCCTATTGATTTTTGAAACAGAGCCTTTAATTCTTTTTTGTTGTTGTTAATCCTTACCTGAGAATATGTTTATTGATTTTTAGCGGGAGGGAGGGGGGGAGAGAGAGAGAGAGAGAGAGAGAGAGAGGGAAACAAACATCATCTAACTCAGTGGTTCTCAACCTTCTGGCCCTTTAAATACAGTTCCTCATGTTGTGACCCAACCATAAAATTATTTTCATTGCTACTTCATAACTGTAATGTTGCTACTGTTATGATTGTAATGTAAATATCTGATGTGCAGGATGGTCTTAGGCAACCCCTGTGAAAGGGTCGTTCGACCGCCAAAGGGGTCACGACCCACAGGTTGAGAACCGTTGATACTGTTGCCTCCTATATGCAAGCCAACTGAGGATTGAACCGGCAACCTTTTTTGGTATAGGTGACAACACTCCAACCAACTGAGCCACCTGGCCAGGGCCAAAGCTTGTAATTCTTATTACAAATTGCCTGCTTTTGGTCCAGCATGTGACCATGTAGTCATATGATACTAGTTTAAGATCAGGTGTTCTTTGTACAAGGTTACTTTGGCTATATACACGTTTAACTCTGTGAACACCTCTATTTTATAGAACGTAGCTGTTGGGAATTATATGCTTTGTCTTGCTCCTGCTGTTTCTTTCAGCCAAATATTTGAATGTATATATATTTATAGTTCAGTTGAGTAGTCACATTTTTGCCAACCTTAACAAATTCTATTTTAATATTAACCCCCAATAAGAATACAGATTAAAAGTTAAATAAAGCTGGTTGAGGATAGAAGCATTATCATGGATACCAGTCTCCTAATTTGTGTGTTTTTAGACACAAAGCCAATACCAATAAACTGAGCAAATATAAGGGTGTACTCTGTTTTTCCCTTTCTATAGGAATTTCTTATATATCTTACTCTATTTAAACAATTCCATAAATATCAGGTTAAAAGAATTAGGTAGTTGACTCTTCTGTGGAAAAAAATATGGCTAAATGACTATCTCTACAGTAGAAATAAGAATTTATGTTTGTGATTTTTTTTTTAGATAACTTTTATTTTGTAACTTATTTTAAATATAGCATGATATGTAAGTTAAGGAGAATCATAAAATTGAGTCAAGTATTTGCAGTTTAAAATACTTAATTTTCCATGCTCATATAAACATGTAAATGAATAGAACTAAAAATTACAAGCCAGAATTCAAGGTTTCTATAGCGTTCTTTTCTTCTATATTAAAGTTCTGTAGGGACTTAAGATTCTGTAGAGGTACCCAAGAAGCTGCACTTATTTGTTGTAGCTATTGGGTTTCCATAAATTTTAAAGAAAGATTGTAAATCTTCTATACTATATGAGTAGAGTCTGTTTTTAGGTATAATTTTTATTTTACCCCTTAGGAAACTATATCTCTAGTTTTATTAGAGCTAGGCAAGAAATGTATTTTAGCTGAAATTTACTTTATTTCATGGGTTTCTGAAATATAATGGATAAGGGATTTGTTGCTTTTTTCATGTTTTTATTGAATACCTTTTAGTGGTATGAGGTACTAAAAATAGCTGCTTCTTTCTACTGGAAAACTTAGTTTGTTGCCACAAGAAAACTCATGAGCTGCCCTACTTACTTAGTAATTTCTTCTGAAGGGCACATGTAAAATCTTCAGGTATTTCTTAGTTTCTGTTTAATTGAGGTTCATGAATATTTTTTTATTCAGCACCCATGTCCAACAGATAGTACACAGTCAGGATAGGCTGGTTTGAACTGGTTTCATGAGGCAAGTTTATGCAAAGCTGGTGCCAAGCTACTGTGCTAAATAATACCTGGTTGGCTGATGTGTTGGTTATTAGCCAGTGTGATAGTGCACACAAAAAATCACCACATATTCCTGGTCTATCCAAAAGAGCCACTTCTCCTCAAATGTTCTAAGGTACAATTGGCATACATGCCTCTCAGTTATTTTAAGCAAAGAGTGAGGGTTTATGTCTATAAACACTGTTCACTTTTTACTGTTCTCATCAGCACCACCTCCCAACTAAGTAAGCAATTTATTTTCCTAATTGAGTTCATGCTCTGAAGAGCCACAGGTTATGCCAAGGCCCAAAAGGGACCAGCTATGACTTCTTTCAGGGAGCCTAACTACCCTAGTAGACATATATGTCAACTCCTACAAAACAAATAAGGATAATGGCTAACATTATATACAGTGTACAGAGCACTAGCCTGCATTTTTATTTAATCCTTATTGAACCTTGTAGTATAGGTACTATCATTATTTCCATTGTGCAGATGGGAAAGCCAAGATGAGATCTAAAGAAGTAGAGTGATTTACTCAAGCTTATACAGCTTATAAAAGATGGACAACAGAATTTAATCCAAGTAATCTGATTTCATAATTTACCATTTAATTGCTACCCAATTGTGTCATGAAATGAGAGACATTACATAACAGTGAGGGGAATATCAGGAAAGCTTTGTGAAAGAGATCCCATTTGAACTGGACTCTAACTATCGGTTAGTCTCAGATGTAAGAATAAAGAATAGCCCTAACCGGTTTGGCTCAGTGGATATAGCGTCAGCCTGCAGACTGAAGGGTCCTAGGTTCAATTCCAGTCAAGGGCATATACCTTGGTTGCGGGCACATCCCCAGTGGGGGATGTGCAGGAGGCAGCTGATCGATGTTCCTCTCATCGATGTTTCAAACACTCTATCCCTCTCCCTTTCCCTTCCTCTCTATAAAAAATCAATAAAATATATATTTTTTAAAAAAGAATAAAGAATATTCTAAAGAGAAAAAAAAAAGGCTGATTGGAGTGAGCTGATTGAGTCTAACTCTTGATGTAAGCATGGTTCTGCATATATGCTGTTGGGAGAGATAATCACATACCCAAATATAAGGTAGGGATTTTTTTTTTCTCAAATTTATCCATTTTCTTTAGTATGAAGAAGGGAATCACCATATACTGTATTCAAGCCTTTATCATACTTTCATGTCACAGAGCTCTTAATGTTCTTTATTTTGAACAATAACCAAAAAATATTAATGGAATAAAACTGGCGAGAACAAATGTAAGGATCTTAAAAATAGTCTATGTGTTTGGAAATATTTATAGACAAATTCTGACAGAATGGGTTTTAAAATAAAAGTCAAGAAATTACTATCCTATATAATAATAGATGAATATGTAAATCGTCCGTTACGGCGTCACGCCACAACCACGTCAACAGGCTGCGTCCCCGCCCTCTGCTCAGGCAGCTGCAAGGCCTGGGGTAGGATAGGATATGATAGGAGGGGATAAGAAAGGAGAGGGAGAGGAAGGCAGGCCTGCATGCAGACAGGCTGAGAGGAGAAACAGAAATACAGAAAGGGAACAAGAAAAAGATGCAGGAATAGAAAAGGGAAGGAAACACAGGCTGCACGCAGGAGGGTGTGGCGACCACGGGCGGGGGGGCAGGGCAGGTGCACCTGGTGAGGGGCGGGGCACAGGTGGCGAGTGGGGAGCCCCACCCAGATGCGGGCCGTTGGTGGGGAGGTGCTCACGGGTCCGGGATGGAGTGGTGGACAGTCTGAGGCCTTCTATGTGGAGGCCCTCCTGCTTCGTGGCAGCAGCGCCCAGGCCGCGCGGACCTCAGCCACCCTCGCTGGGAATGGGAGCAGGACAGCAGCGGGGAGGCCGGGGAAGGGGGGTGGGATGGTGAACCTCTGGCTGGGGCTGAACCCTGGGCTGGGGGTTAATGCGCCTCCCCACCCCACCCCCTGAACAGAAGTTTAAGAAG